GGGGTATGTTGAGTACTCAACCCTTCCCTTTGATTCCTTTCATGATTGTCTTACATGAGGGGCAAGGAGGAGGGTGGGAGTGGAGATAAGAGTTGCCCTGGTTATTGGTGTTAGCCATAATAACACTAAACCCAGGAATCTTGTCTCTTACCCAACAGCCTGAGATACAATTGGAACAGAAAACAAAGCTAGGGTTTGGAACTAAGAAGGGCAGGGAATCATCTTCTCCAAATCCTGGGCAACACAGGTGGCATGATGGCATGGTTCAGGACCCCCGGGGCTGTGATAATTTACAACAATGATAATAATTACCTCCTAGCCTTCACTTATCGGAGGAGTGAGGCAGAAATTTGGCATCGGCTCCTGAATCCTGGTCTTCAATTTCCTAGCTTTGCCACCTTGGGCTTTATTTATCCTCTCTGAACCCCATTATCCTTATCTGTGGTCCAAAAGACATTTAATTGGTGGCATGTTTTAAGTGTAAGTGCCTGGCCTGTGGTAAACACTAGTGAAATACCAGCCGTCGTTGTTACATTTTGTAGATTTTCCAGGCTACAAAGCATGCTCAGACCACAGGAGCACAACATCCAGGTAGGTTAAGCAGGACCTCTATTATTCTCCCTTTTTTAAAAATTATTTTTACAAAAGGGAAAAATGAGAGCTCTTAGAGGGGAAATGTTTTGCCTAAGAGCAACTGCTAATCAGGAATGGCAAGTGACTTGAACCCAGGCCTCCTGGCCGTGCCCCTGGCACTCTGAAGCAGGTCCCAAGACAGTAGCACTGGCTGATTGATTTGGCCTGGTCTGCTCTAGGGGAGAGACCTTGTCTGAGCCCACTACCAGGTCGAGGCTGATACTGGGAGTACCTGGGCATCAGCAACGTGCCGAGGGGGCATTGAGCCAGTGGGATTGTGGGGAGGGATGAGGGCTTTGGGTTCTGGAATGGGAGAGAGGTAAACTTAATGGGATCTGAGTGATGGACAAGGATGTGATGGGAGAGGGGCTGCCAAAGCTGGGGTTTGGGCAGGAATTCAGAAATTGGAATGCAAGGAAGGCAGCAGGGGAGAATCGCACCCAGGAATTGATTGGAGACTTATGGAGAGGTGGAAGCAGAAGACTGAGGTTTTTCGGGTTTGAGGGGAGCCTGGAGCTTCGGGATTGGGAGGTCAGGTGAGGGGAGACCAGATTCCTGCGCTTAGGGTGGAGGACCCTGTTTGAAGAGCCAGGGTCTAAGGACTGGGGGCTTGCGCGGGCGGGGGTGGGGGGACAGAGACACAACAGGGTGGCCCAGAAGCAGGGCTGGGAGGCTCACCATACAGGGTTTGCACCGCCAGCACGTCGTCCCAGCTGAGCAGCGCGTCGCGGCCCAGCCTCTTGTAGTAGGGCGCCATGAGCGCGCGTGGCGCCGGCGAGTGGGTGAGGCCGAGCGTGTGGCCGATCTCGTGCGCCAACACCACGAAAAGGTTGCGCCCGCGGCGGCGGCTCAGAGACCAGCGCTCATCCAGGTCGAAGTGCGCTTCACCGCGTCGGGGCAGGAAGGCGTGCGCCAGGGCGCCCCCTGCAGGCGGCGCAGAGGGTCAGAGGGAGCAGCGGCCCGCGACTCTCTGCCCCACCTATCCGCGCTAAACGCAAATGCCCCTGTGTGTTGTGGCTGTTTTCTGCTGCATAATTTCCCTCCTGGTTAAGTCTTAAGCAGCTGGAGTGTGGAGGGGTGAACAGATGACTAAATTATGGGGTGTGAACTTCTAAGAGGTCCCATGGTGTAGATTCAGCTTGGGGTTAAACTGCATAGGTTCCAATCCTAGTTTTACCACTGCGTGACCTTGAACAGGCAACTTTGACTTCCCCCTGTCTTAGCTTCCTGGTCTGAAAATGGAAATGGTGACAATACGCTTCTTTCCCAAAAGCGTGGTGAAAAATATGTGCAAGTTAGAACAGTCCCTAAAACATACATGCTATATAAGAATTATTTCAAAAAGAATCTAGGAATAAGGATTGTAGTTACCCTGAGAAGGGAACATGCTAGGTCCTTCCATTCTGTTTCTTGATTGGGATACTGGGTGTATGAAAGTTCATCAATCTGTAAACTTATGATATGGAGCACTTGTATGTGTATGTATATTTTCTAAGTTTAGGTATTCTTGCTTTCTTGCCCTCCCAGGGTTCTTTAGGTAGCTTCTCTCTCTCTCTACTTGTCATAGGAGTGAGCAGAGGGAGTTGGGCTGGATCAGGGATTTTAGTGGAGCCCACACACAGCCTAGATCCAGGGACCCACTCCTCACAGTTCACTTTCTGCAGAAGCAGTTTATGACACAGGGGTCAGAACATTGCTCTTTGATAATGCTGGCCTAGAAGCTTGTTGAAAGTCCTTTGGCTTTGCCTTCTGGGAGCTCAGGCCAGGTGGGATTGACAAGTATGGAAGGCTGGCAATAAAAGGAGGGCCTTGTGGGGGTGGAGAGTCAGCCAAGGTAGGAGCAATCTGAATATGCCTAGAGCCATTTCTTGTAGGCTACATGCCATGCAGCTCTCACTGGGAGATGGAGAGACAGGTCTCAGAAAGGAGAAAACCAAACTCAAAAAGACAAAGCATCTGTCCCAAGTCAGAGACCTGCTTGAGGAGTGCAACGTCCTGATGCCCCAGCATAGAACCATCTTAGGTACTGGAACTCTGCCTGGGTATGAAAGTAAACATGTCATATAGATATCACGAATGACATGCGTTACATGTAAGCATGTGTGCATGCTATATGTAGATTCTGGAAAAGCCTGGATTTCTTCCAGTACTAACTGGCCTCCCAGCAGCAGGAGCTAGCAGTGCTCCTTGATACAGGTAGGCTTGATGGAGAGCAGAAAAGTGCAAGAGAGGTGACAGCCTAAATTCCCAGGCCATACAAGGCTTAAGTCCCCACCCCAAAGGGATCTGATCATACTTCCTTTCCTCACTAGGAAAGAGGAGACCCTCAAATAGCCCATAATCAGGTTCTGACAGCCAGTGTTGGCAGAATGGAAGGTGTACCTTTTACACTGCAGCCAGAAGCCATCGGGGTGGGGACAGAGGAAACCTGCTGTGGCTGCAGGATAGCACTTCCTAGCTATCAGGGAATAGAATGTCACTTGCATTGTAGCAGCCACTGTGGCAGTGAGTTGGGGGGCAGAGGGTAGGAGCAGGGTAAAGTGGCGACCTCTGGTTATTTTTTAAGGGTCTGATCTAGAGAACAAGAGAGGCTCAGTCCTGATGGTTGATGGGACCTCAGAAGATTCTCCTGGAATAAATAATACTCTTTAGAATTTGCAAAGCATTTTCCAAGCAGAACCTTATCTGGCTTCCCTACAGACATGTGAGGTGTACTAGGGCAGGGACCACTGTTTCCATTTTATAGATGTGGAATCTGAGGGCACTTTGGAGTGGGGTGTGGCTCGGCCATGGCCAAGAGGAGAAGGGATGCTCCATTGTCACCCACAGACTGCTTCTTGGTTAGGTTCCCATTCTGCCATACGGAGAGAGGTTTTGTGTCAGCACCTGGGCCGTCAAAAGCGTTGTTCAGCCCATCGTTGTGGTCCCCTTGGAAGAAGGTGAGGCGGATGTCAGCAGGGCCGGTAGCCGGGGCCTCCCAGAACTCCAGGGCTGAGACGTTGCTCCACAACTGGAAGGCGGCACGCACAGCCCCCCGAACTACTGGCTCCGGCAGGCTCCCAGGCCAGTTCACCAGGCGGTAAGAGAGGTGCTGCTTGTACCATTTGTTGCCTGTCAGTCAGAAAGGACATGTCAGTCACACCTGCTGCTGGGTCTGAGCGAGGGTCTGTCCCCATGGACCCAGTATAATGGGGAAGGGCAGGCCCTGCCCAGGGAGCCTCTGATCTGAGGTCCCCATCAGATCACTTATACCCCCCCCCATTTGACTGGAAGACACTGCCTCTGCGGAGGGGACTGCTCAGACTGAGGAGACTTGCCCTGGAGAGTCCCCAGTCTAGTGGGGGAGGTCCCAGTATGATGGAGGATATGTAGCCTCGACCTAGGAAAAGCCTAAAAGTCTGTCTGAACCCCTGGTCTGTGGTCTTATTCTTTCCCACAGCCTGGACTGAGTCTGAAAAAGCTCTGTGTCTCTTGCTAGCAACAAATCTTCAGCCTCTGCCTCCAGTGTCAGGACAGAGAAGCCCAAAGGTCACAGCGGTGACTGCCCCATCTGCTCTCTTCACCTCTCACAGCCTCCTGCCACCTCCCATAGGCTCCACCCTGCTCTTTCAGGGCCCGGGGCCTGGAGCTGGCCAACAACCATTAAGACCCATTTATCTGAGGTCCTTCCCTGACCCCTTGCCCTCCTCCTCACTTCCGCAGGGACTCTGGAGAGCTCTGAGGTGAAAACAAATAAGAATGAAGGGTGTGTTTTGTCACAGACCCAGGGAAAGTTTTCCCTCTCTGCTTAGTGAAGAGTTTCTCTCCCTTTGCCCCAAACCTCAGTTCCTCCACAAGGGCTAAGACTCTGGCCTCTGCCCCAGGTCAGCTGGGTCTCTCTGCAGTTCACTGGGCACCCAGGAACAGGGTGACTAGAAGGACCAGCTCCTGAGTTTCTCATGGACAGTTTCTGAACCCTGCAAACTCAGGTGCTAAGACTGCAACCCCATACAGAAGACTTGCAGGTTGAAGGCAGGCCCAGAGAGGGGCAACTGAGACTGGGGAGAAAGGGTCTGCTGAAAGTCACAGAATGAGCGAGTAGCTGAGCTGGGCCCTGACCCCTAATCTAGTGCTCCTTCCAATTATACCACACGGAGAAGCAGGGCCATTTGCTAAGACTCCTGCCTTGTAAATCTGCCTGAACATCAGTCCTTTGGGTCAAAGCAGCAGCCCTGCATGGGCTGAAATTCTCCAGATGGAAGGAGAGAGAGGCTGGGCTCCCTTGCCCTCCCTACCCATGGGAGAGGGGGAGGGGCATGTCCCTTCTCCCACCCCTGAGCTGAGCTCCATTCAAGGCAATGCTGCCTCCCTGGACTTGTTTGGTCTGGCATCCATCCAATCTCTGCCTCCCAGCCAGTGAGCAACCCTCTGAGAAGGAAGAGAGAATGATTCTAAGGAAGGGACCAAGACAGGGAAAGGGGGGGGGGGGCGCTGGGGTCCAGAGGCACCACCAAGAGTTCATTATGTACCAGGAGCACTCTGTTAGACTGTAAGTCTTCCCTGGACACAGACCATCCAGAGCTGGGCTCTTTCACATCCTGCTGGGGGTGACTGACTCCCAGACTCCCCCCATGAACTTTCAATCCTTTAGCAATATGTGAGGTGGCTTCTCCTGCTTTTGTTTTGGTTTTGTTTGTTTGTGTTGATGATTGAGCCCAGGGGCACTTTACCACTGAGCTATATCCCAGCCCTTTTTATTTTTTACTTTGAGACAGAGTCTTGCTAAGTTGCTGAGTCTAGCCTCAAACTTATCATCCTCCTGCCTCAGACTCCTGAGTTGCTGGGATTATAGGCAGGTACCTGGCTTTTCCTGTCTGTTTGCAGTTAGAGAGAGGCCTCCTCTCTATGGGTAAGAGCAGGGGTA